AGCTGTATGACTTTTTTGACAGCTCAACTCCGTCAGTTTGTGCGGTGTATTTGGGATCTTTAGCGCTTCGGTATATGCACTTAAGTCAATTTATTAAATAAATTTTTTGTTCTGAGGCTAAGATCCCGTTCAAAAGACAAGAGCTTAAAGCGCGTTTTTATGAAAAGTATATTTTTAAACGCATGCGTTTTCTTTATACAGGTACGTATACAGAGATTGAATAAAAATGTATTTATATACGTATGTAAATGTATCTAATTATTATACGAGTAGCTTAACTGACATTTCAAAAAAAGTTGAGGTGCACTTTAAAATGCATTACCAGAATCGAAACGGTAATAGCCCGAGGCATATATAGCATCACGTAGACGTAATGGCGTTTGCAAAGTGCAAATGAGCACTTACACTAATTCAAAAAATTACTAAGAGTAATTTCCACCAAAACAAGAACACAATCAAAATATACTAACTCTTATTTGTGGCGGCAATTTTTGTCTCTATCGAGTATAGTCTACCCAGCTGGATTTTACTCATTTGGTCGAGTGAGAGGCTGAAAATAATTTCAATGAGTTTAATATTATTTGTGTTCTGCTTTGTTCTACATCAGTGTTGGCAGTTTTGGTAAAATTGTACTTTTTTGATACAATTTCGTTTACTACGCAGTACTTTTTAATACAATTTTGTGATGAATACTATAAATATATACGTAGCTCTGAGAATTCACTGCGGGAATTCGTTTTATCTTTTTGTCGTCGCCTTCTCGTTTTTGCTTTGTAAGTTTTGAAAAAAGGTTTTGAAATAACCATTATAACATAGCAAAAAGTGTGCTATCAACCTCACATTCCTAGGCAAGTTTTGAAAGAATATTTTCGATACTAAATCTTATTAAAACAAAATGTCGAAATCAGCTTCATATAGTTAGAAACAGTGTCATCGTTAATTCTTTATGTTCTTAAATATCATAACTTCACGACACTCATATATTGACTAGAGTTGACTATTTATTTTATTATTTTTTAGTTCTTATTATTTGTTTATAAAAATATAGTTAATTCCTTAACAAAAACTGTATGAAAATAAGTTTAAATCTTTGAACAACATTAAAAAAATCGACAAACTTTCGTAAAAATTTCCAGCTTTCTATTTCAATTTTAGTATAATAAAGTGCAAGTTTAAAGCAGCTGGAATTTGCCATCAATGTCATATTATCTAAACGCGATTTACTTTTTTAACGAAGAAAATGAGCAACACCTTCATCAAAAAAAAATATATATATATTGAAAATCAACGATAAGTCGCAGCTATTTTAAAATTGCACTTCATTTAAATTGATCGGACTACAAACGGCATTCTCAAAACATGTATTTCCAGGAAACCGAGTTTAAAGCCCGAAATGTTAACGAAAGTTTGTTGATTTTTTTAATGTTGCGCAAAAATTGAACCATGGGGTTTTATTAAAGTATAAACTGCATTTCTATAAACAAATAATTAAAATTAAATAATTTTAAGATACATTTTAAGATAATTGGATTGTCAATATGTGAGTGTCGTAAAGTTTTGATAAGCATTTGAAATACTAAAAATAAAATGTCAAACTTTAGTACTGAATTCAAAGAAGATGTCTCCTTTATCCATGCATAATAACTTAAAAAAATTTGTTTGTTAAGAAGTGTACCTTAAAATATGTGCATACACATTTATGTTCAAAGTGTAAAGTGTACCTACATAAACTTTCCCATGAATACCATCAAATCATTGATCTTGAAGGGAATCTATGTATGCATGTACTGAGAAAATATATGAGCAAATTAAAAAGTCGATGCAATTTACAGTCGAAAAGTATAGTTTTTGTATCGATTTCGTACTGAAGGAACAATTTAATTTCCCAACACTGTGCGACATGCAGGCGCCACCATAAACCAGTGTGAGCTAAAAGTGAGAGTGTGTTAGTGTGCCTTCGCATGCTGTCGCTTTCTCGTCGCTTGTACATGTTTTGTTGCTTTAAGCGACGAAAATTACTAAANATTATTATACGAGTAGCTTAACTGACATTTCAAAAAAAGTTGAGGTGCACTTTAAAATGCATTACCAGAATCGAAACGGTAATAGCCCGAGGCATATATAGCATCACGTAGACGTAATGGCGTTTGCAAAGTGCAAATGAGCACTTACACTAATTCAAAAAATTACTAAGAGTAATTTCNTTAAGCGACGAAAATTACTAAATTCACTAAAAACACTCAACTGAACTATTGGTGCTTCTTAGTGCTCCTACTCATTTCGGTATAACTAATTTGTTTAATCATAAGCACTACATTTGGTGCTTTTTGAAAATAAAACGCCAAAAAAAAATGGTCTAGTGCCTAGTGCCCTTTTTAGTGCTTTTTTATGAACTAAAATTTCTGAATTTACAAAACTCTACAAATTTAAATGCACTAAAATGCANGTTTTGGTAAAATTGTACTTTTTTGATACAATTTCGTTTACTACGCAGTACTTTTTAATACAATTTTGTGATGAATNAACTCTACAAATTTAAATGCACTAAAATGCAAACCATGATTGATAAAAAGATGAAGTTGCAAACCCATGTTCTTGCGTTCTTGTTAAATTATATTCGCATTGAAAATGCTAGCACGCAGATAAATTAAGTATTTTGTTTTTCTTGATTATTGATGATTTTATCTTTTTTNGAATTCACTGCGGGAATTCGTTTTATCTTTTTGTCGTCGCCTTCTCGTTTTTGCTTTGTAAGTTTTGAAAAAAGGTTTTGAAATAACCATTATAACATAGCAAAAAGTGTGCTATCAACCTCACATTCCTAGGCAAGTTTTGAAAGAATATTTTCGATACTAAATCTTATTAAAACAAAATGTCGAAATCAGCTTCATATAGNAAGTATTTTGTTTTTCTTGATTATTGATGATTTTATCTTTTTTTTCCACCTGAGTGCATCGGTTTTTTGTAGATTTTTCGGTTCTGAATCCAAATCTGGCTGCAGAATTTCTCTACCACGTCCGAATTTTGAGATATCCTAACCTCTAAGCGTAAAAACACGGTTTTTCGCAATATTTGAGGTTATATTATAAAACAACAATTTTTTTCGCTCATTTCTACTTAGGGTATCATTATTTCGTTTGTTGCGATTCGATTGTTTTTTCTCCAGATGTACCAGTTTTAATATGCAGTACTTCGGTATTACTTCGTAAGCATGAATGTGTATTTATTTATACATGTAAATGGTGTTTATTTTTTTACTTTTGTTTACCACAAACTGTGAAAAAAGAGTATCCTTTGATAAAAAAAGCTAGTGCTTTTAGTGCGGTAAAACGCTCTTTTTCCAAGGTTTGGTGCTTTTTGAAACTGAAAAGTTGGCAACACTGTGTTTAATGGCTCAATGAGAGAATTGAGCACTACACGCAGTGTTGCCAACTTTTCATTTTCAAAAAGCACCAAAAACTTGTAAAAAAAGCGTTTTATCACACTAAAAGCACCAAATTTTTTTGAATAAAAAGATGCTTTTTTCATAACAGTTTGTATTTAACAAAAGCAAAAAATTAGGAATATTTACAAGAATACATACATAAATCAATACACAAAATTTTTCGCTTATAACGATTGAATAGCCTCTACACATGCTATGATGACTCATACGTACGACGTAATATCGAAGTACTGCGCATTAAAACTGATATATCTCGAGAAAGAAAAATCGAATCGCAACAAATGAAAATGATGCCATAAGTAGAAATGAGCAAAAAATGTGATGTTTTCCTTATATAACCTGAGGTTAGGATATCTCAAAATTCTACTTGAGGTTAGGATATCTCAAAATTCTAGTGCTAAGCAATTGTGCGGCCAGATTTGGATTCAGCACCAAGAAACGGTTTTTTTTATTCAGGTGGTAAAAACATCAAAATTTGCACAAATAATTAGAGAAGAAAAAGAGAAATACTTAACTTACGCGAATAGAATTCAAAAAGATGGGTTTGTAACTTCAGCTTTTTATCAATCATGGTTATATTTTAGTGCATTTAAATTTGTAGATTCTTGTAAATTCAGTTCTGCCACAGCTTTAAATATTTCAGGTTTTACCTATCTCGGAGGAATTTTAGTTCAGAAAAAAAGCACTAAAAAAGGCACTAGGCACTAGGTATTTTTTTTTGGCGTTTTAGTTTTCAAAAAGCACTAAATCTAGTGCTTAAAACACCAAGTTGGGAACTGTGACTACACCAATGCAAATCATCAGAGAACTTAGTCATTGTACATGCTCTCGCTTTGTGTGCCGAGCGTAAAATAGTGTTAGTGCACAGGCGTGAATATTCTGCAATGAATAATATCCACTAACACTATTTCTTGTGTTATTCAACCAATTACTTAAAAACACGAATAATTGCAGTTCCCTGGTATGTATTTACATTTGCATTAGTTGATCAGCCAGAGATCAAAACATTTAAATGGGACACAAGAGCAGTTAAATATTTCATCGAAATGTATATGGAGAGGAAGGACAAGTTCCGGGACCCAAAAATTAAGAAAAAAACGTTGTGGTCCGAAATGGCGCGGGTCATGAACCTAGCTGGATATAATGTAGATGAGGACATATTGGACCGCAAGATACGCAACATGAAGAAAACTTACAAATCCATTAAGGACAATAACAGCAAAAACAGTACAGGTGAGTTAAGTAAACCCTATGCTCATAATAATCCTTTATGTAGTTTTTGTATTTTTTTTGCAGGCAGAGGTCGTGTTACNGGTATTTTTTTTTGGCGTTTTAGTTTTCAAAAAGCACTAAATCTAGTGCTTAAAACACCAAGTTGGGAACTGTGACTACACCAATGCAAATCATCAGAGAACTTAGTCATTGTACATGCTCTCGCTTTGTGTGCCGAGCGTAAAATAGTGTTAGTGCACAGGCGTGAATATTCTGCAATGAATAATATCCACTAACACTATTTCTTGTGTTATTCAACCAATTACTTAAAAACACGAATAATTGCAGTTCCCTGGTATGTATTTACATTTGCATTAGTTGATCAGCCAGAGATCAAAACATTTAAATGGGACACAAGAGCAGTTAAATATTTCATCGAAATGTATATGGAGAGGAAGGACAAGTTCCGGGACCCAAAAATTAAGAAAAAAACGTTGTGGTCCGAAATGGCGCGGGTCATGAACCTAGCTGGATATAATGTAGATGAGGACATATTGGACCGCAAGATACGCAACATGAAGAAAACTTACAAATCCATTAAGGACAATAACAGCAAAAACAGTACAGGTGAGTTAAGTAAACCCTATGCTCATAATAATCCTTTATGTAGTTTTTGTATTTTTTTTGCAGGCAGAGGTCGTGTTACCTGGGAGTATTTCGACGCTTTTGAAGAGATATTTGCAAGTGACCGTACCGTGAATTGCGGTCCAGTTTTGTCCTCAATGGCCATCAGCGATGTTGATGTGTCGCTGAAGTCATCTGCGTTGTCCAGCACTACGTCTTGCATTCCTTCCTCTCCACTATCTCCAGACGAAAACGAGCCCCCGCAAAAATTACAAAAGACAGTTGCGGCGAAAAGCATGAGCTCTTTGCATCACATGGGGAAAAAAATATTAGAAGTGGAAGAAAGAAAAGCTGCCGCAAGTGAAGATTTAAATGGAGTACTGAGGGAAACCAATAAATTGCTGCAAGATCGCAACGAATTGCTGCGTCGATTTTAGAAACATGTAGCGCAGAGGAAAAAGTATACATACTTTGGAAAAGCCATTTTAGGGTCTCAATAATAATATTGATGAACCAGTAGTATCACAGTCAAACCTAAGAGGCTGTTGTAGTTTAAACAATTCCTTTCTTCAGAGACCTATAGTAAAATTTTGAAAGATGAGAAGTAGGTTATTTAACCCCTTCCATTATTAAAAACAGGTAAGTTATGCTGCTAAACCGAAATTGTTCCATAATTTCATTTTAAATATTTTTTTTTTCTACATTTTACTATAGGTCTCTGAAGAAATTGTGTTTGAAATCAATTTATTCACAAAAATGCTAGTAACATTATTTAATTTCTGTAGCTGAATTCTTATGTAAACAATTTTTTTTTTTTTTGTTTATAAACGAAATGTGTTTTAATTTGTAGTGAACCACACAAGACTATGTACACACAAAGTATGACAAGTATCTTAATTTCATTTCGCTATTTTTTCATAAAAATATAGTTCATCTTTCAACAAAAAACTAAGTTGCATAATTTTTGTGCAAAGCTTACAAAAATTCAATAAACTTACATACAAAATTTCAATTACTTAATTTGATTTTTAGATAACTGTAGAGTGTGCAGTTTTGTTGGATATTAAATTTTAGTGTAGTAAAGTGTAAGTTTCTGAAAAATCCTTAAATTTTGATATTTTTTATGGAACGGTGTATTCCGTTTTTCTGTTTAAAAAAATTTTCGCATGACAACATTAGCGAAAAAATTATCAAAAATCAACGGGATTTTTAGAAATTTCAAACTTGCACTTTACTAAACTAAAATTGAATATCCAACAAAACTACACACTCTAAAGTTATCTCAAAATCTCAATAAATAATTGAAATGGTTTAGGCAACTTTATTAAATTTTTTTAAGTTTTGTAAGTTATTCAGCTTAGGCTTTAGGTTTTTTGTTGTAAGATGAACTATGTTTTTATGAAAAAATAGCGAAATGAAATTAAGATAATTGTCATACTTTGTGTGTACATAATCTTGTGTGGTTCATTGCATTTTTGTTTTCGTAATTAAAACGTGATTTAATTTATGTTTTCTAAAATTAAATGACATGTGATTTATTTTATGCTGAGGAAAAGAAAAATACAAAAAAAGGGAGTGCGTCTGGGCCACACTGTGGAATTGAAACCCCCCGTTCGGAAATATATGGGTATGTACAATACACGCAGCCACAATTAAATTCCGAGTTGGAACTAAGTTGCGCAAATTGACCATTATCAGGGGAAACTTCCATCGGTTCATTTACAGTCATATTCAAATTGCTTTCGTCTACGTTTTGATCTTCACTTGATTTTGGTTGCCGCCTTAGTATTCATATTCGTATTTTTCTCTGCTTTTATTTCTTTCTAAGACTCTCTTAGTCTTAGCTTTATTCCTCTGGGCAGCATATTTTAATATTTCAATCAATCTTTTTGAAGGCAGAAATATAGAAAGAGGAAACTAATGCATTTCCAAGATGATTTATTTCAAAAATTCTGTAAAATATTTTTTAGTTTTAATCAATAAATGTAAGTTTGGATGTGTAGTGGGCCAAACATAAATTGAGAGGTGATATTTTAGCAAGTTATGGCTACTTTTGTTTAGTTTAAAGTTAATTTTTTTTTTATGAAGGTATAACACATTACCTAACCAAAACCATATCAATCCAAATTTCAGACTGCAAAAATTATAAAATTCTGGAAAGTTTCACCGAAATTTCAAAATTTTTAACCAGCATCTTTAGAAAAAAGGGTTTGTATGCAGTTTTGTAGTCCATAAAGTGCTAGTTTGAAGTAGGTAGAATGTCGATGTTAAGCACTTTTTTCCATACGAAGTATGTTCGATACGTTTCTTATATGAATAAAATGAGCATCACCCCTTTAATGGACTACAAAATTGCATACAAAAACTCTTTCTAAAGATGCTGATTAAATATTTTGAAATTTCGGTGAAACTTTCCAGAATTTTTATAATTTTTGAACAGTCTGAAATTTGGATTGATAGGGCTTTGGTTAGGTAATGTGTTTTACTTTCATACAGAAATAGTAAACATGGAATAAATTAAACAAAAATAACTAATAAATAATTAACTAACTAACAGTAACTAATAATAATAACAGTAATAATAATAATAAATAATTTTAAAATGTCACGTCCCAATTTATATATATATGTACATATGTACATATGTATTTAAAGCAAGAAAACAATTAGAGAAGCGCCACTACAGCAATGCTTCTGCAATGGAATTTCTCTTAGATGCAGCAGAATTCTCCTCGTCTACAGCTTCGTTTGCAATTTCGTTAATTTCCTAAAGGGTTGGTGCATGCTCGTCTATACGTTCAAAGTCCACCTCATTTCTATTTATTAAAAAATTATGTAAGGTGCATGATGCTGAAACTATCTAATTTGCTATTTCTGGAGTACTTATGTCTAAATATTTGAGTCTTCTAAATTTTCCTTTCAACAAGCCAAAAGCTCGTTCATAATTGAGCGACATGTGCTTAATTTCACGTTATAGTTATGTTGTTGTGTAGTTAGTTGGCCATTATCACGAAGAGGAGTCATCACGTTTTGTAACAAAGGGTAGGCTGAGTCACCTACAAGATGTAAATGTGGAGGCAGCAGTGGTGATTTGGTGCAATTTAATTTTGCGAAAATTTCGCTTTGCCTAAATACTCTGGCGTCATGCATTCGTCCAGGCGCTTTATGATCGCAGGTACCTTAAAATATTAAATATTTTAATATTACACGTTTTATTTATTACTGTAATGGACGGAGCATATAGAAACCTTGAAGAATTATGGAGTGCATTCTTTGTCGGTTATAGAAATCCGTGGGATTGCCTATAGGAGCTTTAATTGAAATATGGCATCCATCAATTGCCCAAACAACCTCGGGAAAACCATGCGAGCGCCTTTGAAATATTGAACCCTATTTGTTGCTGTCAGTTCGGTTAGGGAACTTCACATAAGTTGGAAGCATATCAGCAAGCGTAGACAAGATTTCTCTGAAAACTTTGTAGGCCGTACCTTTTGCGAACCCAAAACGATCACCGGTTGCAAGAAAACTCTCTTGTTTCGCCAAAACCCAGATTGTAAAAATTACCTTTTTCGGCAAATCAGCGAAGTAATCACTTTTTCCGGAAATCTTGTTTCCTATTATGCGCACTAGCTCCTAAAAAGTTATTGAAAATGTTATGCATACATATGCAAATATATAAGACACAATTTTTCATACATTTCAATATAACTTACATCACATGTACCAAGAGACATTCTGAAATGATCTTTAAATAAATCATCGGAATATTGAGGAACTACTACTTCATAGTAGTCCTTATTCCGGGCTTTTTTATGACGCTCCTCCCTCTCGAACAAATCCATTGCACAGTTGTTGTCCATTACGTTATCAATTACACTTGAAATAACGCCTTCCACATCACTCAAGAAAAACTCCATTATAAATCCTGTGCTATCCATATTTCTTGCTTAATATTTTTTTTTGTGCTGTTTCATTTAATTTTGCTTGTTTAAAAATGTCAGCTGTTCGTTTGGCAGTTTATGTATCATACCGTTTCTAAGACGTAACTGTTGAACTCAACAGTTGACAGCATTTCAGCAACAGTTGAGGTAAACAGTTGCGTCTTAGAAACGCGCCCATTGTTTACTAGTATATATGACATTGTTTACTAGTATATGTAAAAGAAAAACTCCATTATAAATCCTGTGCTATCCATATTTCTGGCTTAATATTTTTTTTTTTTTTTGTGCTGTTTTATTTAATTTTGCTTGTTTAAAAATGTCAGCTGTTCGTTTGGCAGTTTATGTATCATACCGTTTCTAAGACGTAACTGTTGAACTCAACAGTTGACAGCATTTCAGCAACAGTTGAGGTAAACAGTTGCGTCTTAGAAACGCGCCCATTGTTTACTAGTATATATGACATTGTTTACTAGTATATGTAAAAGAAAAACTCCATTATAAATCCTGTGCTATCCATATTTCTGGCTTAATATTTTTTTTTTTTTTTTTGCTGTTTTATTTAATTTTGCTTGTTTAAAAATGTCAGCTGTTCGTTTGGCAGTTTATGTATCATACCGTTTCTAAGACGTAACTGTTGAACTCAACAGTTGACAGCATTTCAGCAACAGTTGAGGTAAACAGTTGCGTCTTAGAAACGCGCCCATTGTTTACTAGTATATATGACATTGTTTACTAGTATATGTAAGGTCAGACCCTAACAAGGGGATTGCTTTACGCATGGCCAGCTATGTATACGTACTGAGCAGTGTGACCGTTTTGATCCAAGTGGATCAAAAGTGATACATTTTTCGATGAATATTTGAGAGATACTTCTTTTTAAATTTTGATACTTATTCAATCGTGTGAAAAAATTTCCCGTAGAAGCGGAAAACCTTGCCAGAGATGTTTACAATTTCGTCGCACATAGTGCTTAAAGGGTGCATGAATTTGCCGTGTTTCAAAACTACGTTGGTGCTAAAAATCTTAAATTTTTTCGTGTCAAACGTTCGCTGGTTATCGCTGAAGCAAACTGTTGATCGTTTACTGTCCCAGTGGAGAGCGTTGCAATTATTTTTCATAAAAATACATTATTTATTTTTTTAAATACAAAACGTATTTAAACTAAAAATAATATTATATAATATATATATAAGCTTATATATATAAGAGTATATATTATAAGCGGCCGCTGTGGTGGAGTGGTAAGCAGTGCGCGCTTCCACTCCGCAGCGCCTGGGTTCAAGCCCTGGCCAAAGCAACATCGCAAAAAATTTAGAAAAAAGGTTTTTTCTTAACAGCGGTCGCCCCTCGGCAGGCAATGGCAAACCTCCGAGTGTATTTCTGCCATGAAAAACAGCTTCTCATTAAAATACAATCGCCGTTCGGAGTCGGCGGAGAACTGTAGGTCCCTCCTCTTTGTGTGACAACATCAAGGCGCACGCCACAAATCGGGTGAGAAACTCGGCCAAACTAACTATATGTGTAAGCGCCAATCTATTATTATTATATTATTATTATTATATATTATAAGACATTTTTGCTGTTTTTAATATACTAATACCCAGTTAAATTGATACATCTAATACCACGTTTATACGTAAGCTATTTGCAAATAAAAGTAATTTGCAAATACCTAACTCACTGTTTATTCGAAGGTGAAAAATTCTTGTTTAATATTGCTTGATTGTAAAAAGGCGATAATATGACCATCGAAAAAGAAAATAAAGTTAAAAATGGCAACGTCTTGATTATAAAAAGGCAATAAGATGACCATCAAAAAAGAAAATAAACCTAAGAATGGCGGCGTCTTGCGCTTATTTGCAAATAGTACCACTAATCAATACTTATTTGCGTGATTTAGTTATTTGCAAATAAAAACTTAACTCAGCGTTTATACGGAAAAGTTTACCATTTTGTAAATTGTTATTTGCAAATAATACGTGGGTATAAACGTAGTATAAGACATTTTCGTTAGTATTATTATACTAATATCAAGTACAACTGATACTTGCACCTTTTTTGCAATCAATAAATGTTAAATTGTTTTGAAAAAATATTGGTTTTATTCCATATTGATACTTTGATACTTAAAATAAAAAAGTGATACATATTGATACATTTTCAGTCTATTTTCTGCTACAATTTTTCACAAGCCCGCGGTCACACTTGTACTGAGTAGAGCATTATCTTGCCAAAATACCACAGTTAAAGTTAAATACCAATGCATGTGGTTTTTAGAATAAAGAAATATGCAGATTTTTTAGACCACGGAGCACTCCGAATTTCGAGGATTATTGCTAGTTTCCTTTATTATAAAAAACAAACAATTTTTAATGGCACACAAATATGGAGGAAAAATAATAAAACCAGAGATGCTCAACAAACTATGGCTGCGTTTCTTTATACATTCCGGATAATCCCATTTCACAGCCGGAATAAACAGAATGTTTTTGAAATATACGTTAACATATCATCAGGAACGTTCTAAAGAATAAGTAAACAAAAAAGTTTATTCCAAACGTTCAGAATGAATAAAGAAATGCAGCCTATATGAATCGATTCCGTTTTGTTGATGCGCAAAAATAACTTATCAAAATAATTTCGTTTCGGAGCTAAATTAACGAAATAAAACTCAATCGTTAACGTTGAAACGAAATAAGTCATCAATCGTTAAGATCGAAACAAAATACATCAACGAAAAGATGTTCTTGTATGCCATTGCAGAGAACTTAGATAGATAGAGAAGGTGCAAATTGAAAGTGGAAACTATTCGCGGACGAAAAATTAACAGCTTTGGAAAATTTAACCACGGAATGTAGAAACACTTGTTAACAGACAGAAATTCTGTTGAATTTAATATTGATAACATAATAAAATGTTGAGCAACATAAAATCTGCTCTTCTTCGTGTTGCGAGCAAATAAACGGAAATATGGCAAATCTAATTTTCATTAATTTGTAATTTTTGTTAAATTTTTTAACTTGTTCTCGTTTCGTGAAGATGCAAATACAATTTAATAAAATTATAGCTTTGCATAAAATTTACACACATACATATGTACATGTATGTACACTGGCAATAAAAAGTGAGTGCATGGCGTTTTTTGTTTAATATTTGCAATGTTTTTCACGTTAAAATATTTTTGTTATATTTTTATAAAAATGTGGTTCATGCTTTAATTAAAACCTCATAAGTCAAACTTTATACAGAATATAGGAAAATTCAGCGAATTCTAGTCTAAATTTTGACCTGTTTAATCTGAGTTTTTAGAAAAATTTTGAGTACGCAGATAGATCGGTTTTTTAAATCTAGTGGAACAAGATCTAGTTTTAAGCGGCTAAAAAATCGGGTTGATTTTTAATGATTTTCCATTGCTGACGGCTTTTTGCACTTTTTGCCAAATAAAAGGGAATTCCTTGTAGAATAAAGTGCGCGTGACCGTTTGCAAACAAATTAAAAAAAATAGCGCTATATTTTACAAATTGCGCTTGTTATATGCATACAACCGCAAAACCCGTCGAAAATAACAAAAAAATTTTAAGAAAAACGAAAGATGGTTTTCTTTTTTCCCTCCAACGCGTTTCAACGCATTTCGCGTCTTCCTCAGTGAGTCTGGGTTTATTAAACAATAAACAACATGAATTACAATGCAATCAGAACTAATACAATTTGGACATTTTTTCAACTCACATTTAATCTAATAATTACATAAATAAATATCACAGGCGAATGTACATTCTAGAAACTATATTTATGTTTGTATACATAAAATTCATCGTTGCTCTTATTTGTATACGTGTTTGATGACAGCTGTGTAGGCGTTATTTGTTTTGTCCACGTCTTCTTTGAAGTTTATCGCGCTGTCCAGCTTTTGTTGTATACGTAGGCTTTCCAATGTTATTCTCCTCCTTTCTCCTCTTTCCACGTCTAGAATCCTCGTGTTCGCGAAGTCAGCTGTGTGCTTGAATGTCGTGAGGTGTTGAGCCAGGGCTGTTGTCATTTTCTTATTTCTCTCGTCCACCTTATGTTCGTTGATCCTTATATTCAACGCTCGTTTTGTCGTGCCCACGTAGCACGTTGTAACAACTTTAATTTTCTTTGTCTTTGCACATCATTTCGTACAAAACATTGTGTTGTTGCTCTTTCTCAATTTTATCTTTAGTTTTCGTAAATATTCCGTTCAGCGTGTTGTGTGGTTTGTGAGCATATATAATGTTATCGTTTTTAATGATTTTTCTAAGAGCTTGATTATTTGTTAATCCCGGTGTGTATGTTAACCCAATATGTTTTTTGTTTGTATTTTCTACGGTTTATTTTCTGTTGTTAATCGAGGTGCGAATTTTGTTTGCCGTTGTTTCTATTAGCCTTTGTATTGTTTCTTTAGGGTAGCAATTTTTCTCGAGTATAGTTTTTATTTTCTTGTTATTTTCTTCTCTAAATTCTTCGTCACTAAGTATGTGTATTTTTCTGATCAGGCTGGTCGCTGTGTTGATTTTTTGCTTCCACGGATGGTTTGAGTGGAAGTTTATTATTCTACCCGATGCGATCGATTTAGTGTACCAATTGAATTTGATGACATTTTGTCCCTTATGTATTTCAACGTCCAGGAATGCTATTTTGTTGTTTGCTTCCTTCTCTGCAGTAAATTTTATCTTCGTATGTTGTGCGTTTAATGTTGTTAATATATACTCAGCGTTTTTCGATTTTATTATTGCAAATACATCATCTACATATTTGGTTATGGATTTGACATGTATATCATTTTGCTTTAATTCAGCTATGCTGTCGTCAATTATTTTGTCCAACACGATATCTGCTATTATTGGAGATAGTGGATTCCCCATAGGCATACCATAAATTTGTTGGTAAAATGTGTTGTTGTATTTGAAATAATTATTATCGCGTAAACAAAATGTGAGCATCGTCTGGAATTGTCTTTTAGTAATGTTAGTGTGATTCTTCAAATTCTCCCATTTTTTCATGATAGTCTGTATTCAAGAACGATAGAATACAAGATTGCGCATTCACGCAGAATGACATTTGTGGCAATGGGTAAACAAAGAGTATGGCGAAGAACAATGGGTTGACAGTTGTGAATTTGCAGTGAGAAAACGTGTTTTCTTCACGATTCACCAATTTCTCAAGCCATCTTTAAATATAGCAAATTAAGCACAACGTTAACAAAAAATATACAACCACTCTTAAAATGTGTTCAAAAGAATAGGTCTTATTAATTAACTATTTAGAATTTTGGTGTTTGTATAGGTGCCAAAAAAGTGATAATATCTTGTGGCCAAGGCGTCGTGGCGGGCAAACAAAAAAAAAAATGCATTTGGGGGCTTTACCCCTACGGCTGCTGCAATTCAACACACGACACGACATTTTTATAAACCCCTATGCTGTAATCCGAAAGTTCGTAGTTACGAATTCGTAGCTCCGTTCCGAAAATTCGAAAATTGGTATGCTTTGGCAGAAACGTATCTGAAAACGAACGAATCGTATTTGAAAAAGCGTTTCCTTAATTAAGTAAAATATATTGGATTCAGTGGCCGGTGCACTTTTGTCTTAGGAGGAAGAACATGCTGCAGTCAACTGTTGCATTAATATACAAAGGAGATTGCTCGAAACAATTCTGATCCATTTAGCTTAAATGATAAAATGTAAGTTTTATAATAGATTTCACTGATACACACATAAATTAATCGTTTAAATGTTTAAAGATTTGTAAAAAATTTCCGCCTCAACAAAGACGCATTTAAAAGCGTTTTAACAATTATGGAGGAAGAGCTTGGGCGAAGTGTAAAATCATCATCGGTGACTCCTATAAGTAGATTGATGGCAGTTTTGAGATCTTTCGCTGAAGGAAGCTACCAACATGGTGTTGGGAAAGATTTTGATGTGGGGTTGGCGCAATCCACGTTCTCAAAAACATTGACAAAAACTTTAAACATCTTAGAGCGCCGACTGTGCCCAGTATGGATTCAATTTTCAATGACGGAGGAGGAGAATAAACGAGCCAAAATGTGGTTTTACAGGAGATCGCAATTCCCTGGCGTTGTTATGTGTGTGGACGGCACGCACATTAAAATACTTCCTCCTGCAGACGAANAGAGCGCCGACTGTGCCCAGTATGGATTCAATTTTCAATGACGGAGGAGGAGAATAAACGAGCCAAAATGTGGTTTTACAGGAGAACCCAATTCCCTGGCGTTATTATGTGTGTGGACGACACGCACATTAAAATACTTCCTCCTGCAGGCGAACCGTATTTGTACTACAATCGTAAGGGATACTACAGCCTAAATGCAAATGTGGTAAGTAAAACCACAAGAGCAAAGTAATTTTGTACGTGCAATTTATCGTAAATGTATTAAATAGATTTGCGATCACAAGATGCAAATAAGGTGTGTTGATGCTCGGTTTCCAGGCAGTAGCCACGACTCACATGTGTGGAATGTAAGCGCTGCAAAAACCAATTTTGAAGAGAGATATCGGCAAGGAGACAAAACAACTTGGATATTAGGTATGTTATAAGTGGAATGAGAGCAAAACGTGTTAAATATAACTAAAAATATTTTGTTTAACAGGCGATGCTGGGTATCCATTACAGCCGTGGTTAATTACACCATTCCGTTCTCCTGTGGCAGGAAGTCGAGAAAGCGCCTTCAACAAAACGCACAGTAAAGCGCGCAACATAGTCGAGAGAGTCATCGGCGTTTTGAAAAATAGATTTCGATGCCTGCTCAGTGTTAGCCAACTACATTATTCGCCCCAAAAAGTGGTACAAATAATTAATGTGGTATGCGCATTGCATAACATGTGCACCCACTACAACGTGGAAGATAATACGCCTGATATTATGGATGATGAATATGAAGATGTTAATGAAGAGGAAGCGCCATCAGAATTTTCCAGAGAAGCGTCAGTCATACGAATGCGAATTTTGAGATCATTACCTAACTAATGAAAACAATCCCATAACTTTGTACTTCATATTTATTTGATATAAAAAAAAGTAAAATAAATTCAGTTCTTTGTTTTTTTAAATCTAATAGTTTGTACATACAGTGGACCCAAAAAGTATTCGTCGCTTATTGTTTATAAGGAATAGTATAACAATTTTCAATGAAATGCAAAAGCAAACAATGTGTTACTTTTTCCACTTTTATTTTGGAGTAATCCACATGTTTCTACTGTAAAATCAATTTCATGATTTCAATGTATGCTCGAAAGAATCCCGTTATCATTTGCAGTTTACTATTTTGACAGCAAAAAAGTATTCGTCGCTGCGCAAAACGCCGTAAAATAAACATCTTAGATCAGTCGTGTACGTGATTTTCGGCTTGGATGTTGCAAATATTCTTATAATAGTTAAGTTGATGCTAATTTGGTTAAAAAAAATAACTTAAAATGGGAAGAAAAGCAAAAGAAACAACGGTAGAGGAGCGGAGGATTGTTGTGAACCTATTTAAAGACAACAAATCGTATAAAGAAATTAGGGAAATTCTAAAAAGACTTATTACTACTATAAAAAGTATCGTTTACATGTATAAAAATACGAAGACAGTGCAAAACGCGGTTCGCTCCGGTCGCCCTCAAGTCTTAAGTGGCAGGCAAAAAACCAATATCATTCGGAAAGTGAAGAAAAACCCTCGTTTAAGTGCTCCCAAAATAGCAGGCGAGGTGTTAAAAGAACATGGTGTTACAGTATGTCCTAAGACGATAAGAAATGTCATCCATGGCGCCGGCTTTCATGGCTGCACAGCACGAAAGAAGCCATACATAAGCAAGGTAAACAAGCTTAAGAGATGGGAGTTTGCCAAAAAATATCAGCATGAACCCATAGACTTTTGGAAACGGGTCATTTTTACTTTTGAAAGTAAGTTTAATATCCATAAGTCAGACGGAAAGGTTACAGTATGGAGGAAACAAAATTGTGAGTTAGAAAAGCGAAATATGGTTGGCGCAGTGAAACATGGGGTGGATCGGTGATGGTGTGGGGGTGTATGAGCGCTAATGGGGAGGCGATTTATATTTCATCGACGGAATTATGGATCACAAGTGTTTACGTCAGCATTTGCCAAGCAGTGTGCAAAAAATGGAGCTACCGAATGATTATATATTCACTCAAGATAATGACCCCAAGCATACCGCCTTAAACACAAAACTTTGGTTATTGTATAACACCCCGTCATGGATGGAAACACCTCCACAATCACCGGACATTAACCCGATCGAAAATCTTTGGCATATTTTAGAGCAGAATATAAGAAATCGATGTATTCAAAATAAATCAGATTTGATTGAAGCGTTAAAAACCTAGAAGTTTGACCGAAAATTTAGTTAATTATATGCCTAGAAGAATGGCAGCGTTAGTTAAAAGTAAGGGTAATCCTACTAAGTACTAATTTAATTAAAAAGATGAACTTAATTGAATTGTTGGTTTTGTTTAGTGAGTACTCAATATGAGAGACGAATACTTTTTATGCATGTAATTTAACATGCTATGGTTGAACCGTATTTTTTCTTAATTTTCGAAAGCTTATGATAATTAGTTTTATATCCAAAATATTTGTGAAATATCGAACTGTATGCTATGCAAATGAGATGTTAAATAAATATTTCGTCTCTCTCGAAATAAGTGTTTGGGTGCAATTTTATTGGGGCGACGAATACTTTTTGGGCCCACTGTATATACAGTTATCACAAGCGTAAGTTCATCTCTTCAGTTCAGTTCTTTTCTTAAATCTAATAGGTTTACACATATATCACAAGCGTTAGTTCATTTCTTTAGTTCAGTTCTTTTCTTAAATCTAATAGTTTATACATATATACAGATATCACAAACATTAGTTCACTTCTTTAGTTCAGTTATATTCTTAAATCGAATAGTCTTAAATTCAATAATCTTTAAATAAAAAAAATAAAAAATCAGTAGTTCAATGCAAAATTAAATTAAATTCAAAATTAAAAAAATCTTAAAAAAAAAATTCATCTATTCATTTTTGCTGGCTTCTTCCTTGTATCCGCAGTAATTTTTCCTGCAAATCAAGCTTTCTTCTTTTCAGGGCCTCCATTTCAATATTGTGCCGCTTTAATTCACGCAATTTTTCTTTCTTCATGTCATGCATGTTTTCTTGCACTTGGTACATGCGTCGCACGTATCTGCCAGTTCGTTTGCAGACTCAGCCTGGCGTTCCAAAAAGGCCAAACTTATTTGGTAGCAGCTTCGTTGCAAATTTATTTGCTCCTGTACTAAAGTAGCCGTGTCGTTTTTTTTACCGGAGGGGAACGCCTCTGCACATTGGCATTGTCTGGCTCAGTTGGCATAGGAACGACTGCCGCAGGTTCCACCACCGGTTGGGTAACCGTCTGTGTTGTTACCACACCAAAAGAGACAGCTCCATTGATCCCCGATATGGAAGTGTGCAAACCCGTCAACTCGATCACTTTTTCCTCCAACTCATTGAAATTATGCATTCTGTTGGGTCCACCACCAGTTGCCCTCGTCTCTGCTTTATTTGCAGAAAGTTTTCTTTTAATGTAGCACTTATAATCGAGCCATACCTAGAAATAGTATTGATATAAGGAAAACAATGATAACTTTTGTGCTCTTAAAATTTTATCCGCACCTTTTTCCAGCTGGATACATCTTTTGTCGGTGGGCCTAAACTGTTTAGCTGCTGAGCGACGCTTTCCCAAAACTCCACTACATCCTCTTTTGCCCCTTTTGCAAAGCCGCGAGCAATGTCCGGCCTTTCGGTCAAGCATTCTACCATTTTTTCGTATTGCGACCGATTTGTTGTAATCTTCGACCTGAAAATTTTGTAAATATTTAACAATAATCCATTTTTTTCTATTTACACTTTAACTTACATATTTTTTCCTTTACACACTTTATTTTATTGATATTTAAAAAAAAAATCGCTTCGCTCCGATACCAGGTGCTCTTCGTAGAAAATTTCCGACAAATACATACAAATGACAACTACGTCGGATTCAGGCATACCAACATTACGAATTTCGAAGATGGTCTCCGAATTTCGAAATTACGATACGGCAACGCGGATTACAGCATACCAATTTTACGATTCGTAGCAAAATCGAATCTACGACGGATTACAGCATAGGGGTGATAAAGTTTTTATTACAAATAAAACGTTTTTTATTTTAGAACGCACGAATTACTTCTATTTTTCACTTGAAAGTACACAATACGTTTGCACTTGTTTCTAAACAAAAAGTTTGTTTACGTATTGCCATAAACGTCAAAGTCAGCAAAACCAAAGTAGCGGTTTCGGAAAACGCCACCTTCAGTTCATTACACCATGGTCTGTATTGCTAAATGTATAGGGATGTTTGTGAAAAGGGAAATTGCGTCGAAGGATATTAAAATTGCATCTTCTATTTTTAGGCTTCGGAGACTTTCCTTCAGTTCGTATGAGTTCTTTATGTTGTATTTGTCCGATATTATATTCTTTAGGATGTTTCCAATATATTTTGATAATTTATAACAGGGAACACTTGTCGATGAGGAAATTGGCCTGAGTGGTGTATCCGGTTTATGAATTTTAGGAAGGCCATATGACACGCTCAGAACAAAAACGACGAATATTATAAGTCAGAGCAAAAATGAACTATATTTTTTTCTAGAGCAAAAACGAAACAAATCGACAGCGTACGTGTGAGCTTTGTGTGTATGTATTTCGTGCGCGCTCGGTGGTTTCTGCTTTTGCTTTTGCGTTTGCGGTGATCGGCAAAATGTAGCAGCGAAAACGTTTATTTGTACATTGCAATGCTGCAATGGGTTTTGTAATCTCATGTCCATAATTTGCATATGCTTCTTCAACCTGTAGCAAACTACCAACGCAAGCTATGTAAATTAATAGAAAACCTAATATTAATAAAAATAAGTAAATTTTGTTTTATTAATAAAATAAATAATTATCAGAAAATTTACAAAGCAGTTATAATTATTATTTAAAAGAAACAAAATTAAATTATAATTCACAAATATAGTATTTAAATATTATGGTATGAATTATGTTATAAATAGCACGTAGTCACAAATTTAAGAAAAAACCTGCCCTCCGATATTTGACCATCATTACTCATGCAAAATTTTCCCCTTCAAGTATGTAGAACAGTGTTCGAGATATAGATAAACTTAAGTTTTTGGAGATTTGAAGAAAAAAGTGGACCCACTTAATTGCAATTTTTTATATACTTATTTGGCTTATCTCAAATTTCTTTGTACACTAGTGAAGGTTATTAAATTTACTATGTACAATCATGTGAAAAATAATAGGGACACGAAATTTTGACCAGTTTTGGCTATTTTTCTTTCGTTTTTTAATGTTTATTATTTTTTTTATAAAAATACAGCTCATTATCTAACCAATTTACAACAAACTTTTTATTAGGAATTTTAGAAAAATTCTAATTATTCAAAAAATTCTAATTATTAATAAAGTGTAAATTGGAAGTGGGTAAGAATTCGCGTTTAGTTTTGATAACTTTTTTTGCGAATGGTATTATTTTCTCCATACAGAAAAAAAATTGTCAATAACACTTTATATGGAAGAAAATGCGTGAAAATGCGTCAAAAAACCAACACGAATTCTTAGCCACTTGAAACTTGCACTTTATTAAGCTAGAATTTAAAGGGCTATAAAACTGCTTATCTAAAATAAAAAGTTAGTTGTAAAATTTTTTTTTAAATTTTTCTATAAAGTTTGAAATTTTGATTTATATGATTTAAATAATGAGCTCCATTTTTATAAAAAATAATAAACATTAAAAAAGCGAAATAAAAATTGCCAAAACTGGTCAAAATGTAGTTTCCCTATTATTTTTCACACGACTGTAGGTGATAGCAAATTTAATAATCTTCACTAATGTAAAAAGAAATATGAGATTGGCCAACTAACTATATAAAAAATTTGAAATTTTTCCTCAGATCTC